TGGAAATCTAAATTCAAAGACTAGGTGATGTGGTATATAATGGTAATTAACCAAAATATGATTTTTTTTCAATTATAGATTTTTTAATTTTTTCACGTAAATTGAAAACTGAAAAACATCTTGATTATTTATCAGACATCGCAAGCACAAGTAATTGCAAAGTCRTTTTTGACCATAAAAACATTATGTTAGCCTTTTTTGGACCTTAAAAAAGCTTTGTCAGGAACAAAATTATTTTTAAAGAAGCAAGGGTGCCACATTTGCTTCTGAGATTTTCAACAATGTAGCTAAAAATCCCTTCCCAGAAAATTAAATCGTACAAGAACAGTTCTTTAGCAGAACAGACCCTGTCTGCTCCTCCTAAAAGTACTTGTCTTTCACACTTAGGCCCAGATGAGTAAAGTCTCAATAAGCCACCTCTGTGGGTTTATCTTAGTGAATTTTCCGTTCCTGCAGTTGACTTGACTCACTTAACCAAGGTTAATAGTTATGGGAGGGGGGTTGTTCGACGTTATTTCTAGTATAGCAGGGGGGGGGCTACTTTCTTATCCTTCTTATGCCCGCCTCCTGGTAATCTCTCATTGTCAAGTTTCTTTTTAAATGAATTAAAATAAAACATACTCAACTAAACAAAAATAATTAAAATGGATAAAATCATGAATAATGTTTGCATTAAAACTTCGATGCAACTAGCTTTATTTCGATTTTTTTAAATATCTACAAATCAAATGTGATTCAAAAGAAATAGTCAAAATGGATTTATGTGAAAAAATTGATGAAAAAAAAGGGTAACGATTGTTCACGAGTGAGTAATCCATACAAGCTAGCACGATGCCGGTCAGGGAGAAGATAGCCGATCCCTAAGTCATAAACTGAGCTACTCCTTGCAAAGTGCAACCAACAATCTATGTGAAATCACCGCTTCATTGAAGAAGTCAATCTCGTACCCAGAGCCCACACTTTTGCCATCCAGCGCTGACATTAGCCGTGAAGACTCTGGGCTCGAGATTGTGAAGAAGTCTATCGAGCACACTCGCTCAAAGGCCTGGTAACGAGATTCTGACTGTATCCAGTGCTTTTGATCCAGTATCTGTATTTTGATCCCATGTATCCAATGCTTTTGAAAACATTAAAGCATACTTTGTTGAACTAATAAAAAGTTAAAAACTAAATAACACGAACAACTTAATGTTAGAGCCTGTTAATTCAGCTATCAATAAACGAATTGCTACTGCAAGACCGTATAAATTCGCTTATGTTATTCAATTTCTTCTGTAAAGTCGATTCGATAGAGTATCGGCCGACTTGCTGTATGTCGTTTTTCATCGCAGTAACATCGTGATTGCTCGTGTTTCGTTAGTTTYGTTGTTTCGTTGTTTCGTAGTATCGTTTCTGGACGGCTACATTCGTACTTTTCAATATCATTTCTTCGAGACTTCGTAATTCCGTAACGTCGTATTTGAAGATTTTTGTATTTCTCGAATGGGCTTGTTTCATGTAGTTTGTWACTTATTTTGTTTCAATACTTGTTTTCAAGATCGTGTATTTACCCTCGGGCGATTTTGTACATCGTAATGTTTAGATGAGTTTATGAGATAGCAAAGAACGGTCGATCTACGGATCTACTTAATGACCGAACTCAACGATTCGTATCCATCATGCAGTCATTACGTGAGCGATTCCGATAGAAAATCGATGTCACACTGTGAATAAACAAGACATCCTTTCAAAATCATAGTTATATAAAGACTCTTTGATGATAACGATGTGACCTGAGAGAGATTGCTAAAATATACTACCTTTGCTCCTGGAACACATGAAGTTTTTGTGTAAGTTTGGTCATGGTTTAACTGTTGGTTTTGAATTTTTACTTGATTCGCGATGAAAAGAATGAAAAGTATGCAATCATTTGTTCTCTTTTTGATATTTTATTTGCAACTCGTTGTGGCGTTTTTATGTTCTGAAATAGAGGGGTTTAGGAAAAAAAAACAGCTAATAGGAAAAGGTCCTTGGTCGATTTTACTTTTTATTCTGTATTTCTGTTCGTTTTTTACGTATTTTCACATTTATTTATTTTTATTCAATATCTTAGTACGCATCAGTACACCACAACCGTCGTTGAAACTTTCTAATTTTGAACATTGAAGTCATTTCAATTTCCGGAGTCTATATGATTGCTAGCAGATTGCGTGCAGAAGGAGTACATGGTATGTGCAAAGGTCCTCCCATTCCTATCGCCTCAAGTACTTTGATATTGAGTTGTGAAAAAAACAGACGTAGGAAGTCATCACGAATTGATCCTTTTGTCCCGATGCAGTAGACTTTTCTGGAATGAAACGCACAAGAATTTGAACAACGATCAAAAGTTCTAATTGGGCTGCATTCGAATACRTCGTTCAAAGGCACCGTGTGGATGATGTCACTAGGGGGCTGAAGGGTTCGGTGTTTGTGCAAAGCTAAATTAATTTTTCCGTTGTTTATATTATTCGACTTTCAGACAATGCGCTCTTATTTTCCGCGATGCCCTTCGAACCRCGGGGWTTCGGTGTAGAGCTTACGCAAATACCCGGCCAGCCTCGGAAGCAGCTCCATCACTCTTGCGCACACAATTGAACAACCTTGAACAGTTTCAAAATCAGTTACGGTGTTCTCTGAATTGTTTGATTGTTTAATCTTATTATAATTACAACGTGAAAAGAAGACTTGAAATTGCGTGTTCAATTGATCAAGGTTCGGTGAGTTTCAATAGGCCGTCTATGTGGAACCCTCATCAAGTAGTAAAGGTTAACACTAATGAATCTCTACCTGATATTGCTACTGATAACAACAGATAAAAGTCACGCGAACAGCCTCACTTCGCTTTAATAGTGGAAAAATATAACTTGTTTAGAAGTTTCATTGATGCGAACTTTGCACAATACTTGGATGAGTCTTGAAGAGATGTYATAGCTTCGGCGACGCTTGAATTTGGTGACATCCAATACTGCAGTCATACGCATAAAATTCACTGGCTGTCATTTCAAGTGTTACACAATTAAAAGGAGAGTGTGAGTCATCGATCTGTCAGCGTGCGAGCTGTGGTGATGAATATATAGTTGGGACCTGTGTTAGCCTGGGCACTTGGAAATAACACCTGAACAGCAACACTCTGCAGACAGGAGGTCGTCTTCTGGAGCTGCGCAGCAACTATGTCGCTCACGATGGAACGCGTACAAACCTATGCAACGTTCCTCCTCTTTCAAACCATGATGACACTGGAGTTTATCGTCTTCAAGTTTCTTCACAGTATTCCATTTGTGGGGGACTACACAACTGTRAAATGGTTCGATTGGACGGCGAGGATAGTCATGAAGAAAGAGGAATACTGGAATACAGCCTTCGGATGGGAAATGTATAAGTTGCAGACAAGAGTCGTTCAAAAAGGAACCTTCAAGAATGCAAAACTAGGTCGACCTGCACCAAATCCAGAAGTACTTCTCCTTGATGGAAACCGCGATGCAAAAAAGCTTCTTGACTACTGCAAGGGGACGAGGCCACTGGTCTTGAACTTCGGTAGTTGTAGCTGACCCCCGTTTGTCGAGAAGATGGGCGAATTCGGCGAAATCCAAAAGGAATTTGCTGAAATTGCCGACTTCTTGGTTATATACATTGAGGAGGCGCACCCAGTTGAAGGCTGGAATTTTAACGTAAGTATCGTACTTTTTTTKSWWTTYSKTTTTWAA